CAAGGAGTTGCACTGATACTATCCAAAGAAGCATAAAAAGCACTGATATAGGATGGAAATCTCATGGACCTTGGATCATCAAAGCATCCTTCAAAACAAACAACCAGGGTACTACAATCAATGTCATCCAACGACTACAATGAAGACATTAAAGATCAATTCTACGAGGGGCTGCAGTCAGTCATTGAGAAATGCCCAACACAGGACTTGACAATTCTGATGGCAGACCTAACTAAATACTAAGGTTGGATTGGACAGCACCTCTTAACCAATAAAGAAGAACTATGTTCTCCAAAATAAATCGATATACTAGCTTCGTTAAATATCTAATGTAACTAGTCTATGAAGATCGATCAAACTAATAAAAATACATATTGAGATGGAGAAATTCAACATTTTATTCTTATTCCCTGAAATCAATATTAGTCTAATTCGAGAATATAAAAATTAATCTCTCAACAAAGACCATTCTTTAAAGAATGTTTTCCTCACATAAAGTAGTTTTATGATTTCACTAACTTTATCAAATATTATTTCAAAACTCGAAGGTTATTGTCAATAACATTATGAATAGATAACAAGTAATAATGACCAGTTAATTTGGAAAATAATGACCTTTTTTATTTAAATTATATTTTTAACGTTAATAAAGTGAATTTATGGGTAATAAACTTATAATTAATATATGATGTCAACATCGTGAACTGACTGGAATCACATCAGCTGGAAGATAATTACTCATCGATAAGATTGGAAGATAGGTATCAGTCTTGAGGACCCGGAGAAAGAAGTTGGATTAATGTTGGTCTTAGCGACCTAGGATCGTGACCGCACAACGTTTTCACGAGAAGTTGTAGGAGTGTTAGCTCCGATCTTGTTTAAAAGGCCTTACCGCCGGAGACGGAAATCCGAGAAGTAAAGTCGGGGGTGTGACATTGTTAGGGTTGACCTTTTCTAATCCCTTCCTTCCATTGTGACTAACGTAGCATCAGTGCAGATTCTAGCTGTCCAAGGGAAACACCTTACTTTTTTCACACCCCTCTACAGTCTACAGTCCGTCTTCACCGTTGGACCTTGGATTGCTGCTTTTAGTCTCACCGTTTTCCAATCGACCTAAACAAACCTTATTTTCCGACCAATATAGCTTCGGTATGTCATCAGGATAGGCTAACCCAACCACCACATCTAGGTAGCAGCTACAGACCAGAGAAGATAGGTGTTCAATATCATGAATATATTAAAGTTAGATATATGGAAATGTAAACGTTCACAAATTAACCTTTCAAAATATCTGCATGAATGCATGCACTGCTAAGAGGATATCATATTCAAATAAATAAACCAGCTGTTCAATGCACCTTGATGCACCAGTGATGATTTTACAGCATAAGTTAATTGTTAATGTAAATTATAAAAATGAATTTTTCCTTATTACTGGTATGATTCATTCCTCTTTTTTCTTTTTGAATAATTTTCATGAAATTACAAAAACAGGTGATTTCACTGGATGCATCAGAGAAGCAGTGACACTATAAGTGTGTGTTTATATACAATGTAGTTTATGTTAAAACGTATAATTCTTATGTTTTGTTTGGTACAAGAAATAGGTTGATTTGTACCAACCCAAAACACAGACACACACATACACAGGGTTATGCAGTCAGTATGTTATCATCATTTAAAGTCAATTAGAGCCTTATCAATTTTTTTTAATCAAAAAAAACAAATATTTGAACATATGTTTTTTCCCCTAAATGTGTAAAGTTTTAAAACTCGATTTGATAAGCACAGAAGTTGAATCATCCAACGGTATATATATATATACATGTTTGCACGGTACGTGTGTGTCCACAGTTAGAAGACTTTTGTTCTTGATTCATAAAATTTAAGTGACTAATTTAAAGTAAAAATACGAATAACACCGTCTGTTAGAGTGTTTATCAAAAATCCTACATTGTATAATATTGTAAAGAGAATCAACTTAAAAACAAAATGAAATTAATGTTAAAAATGAAACTACTTGTAAGTAGTCAATGTGATTTTATAAACTTTTAGGCCTTGTAGGAACAAAATGACGAAAGAAGAAAAGACAAATATCATTTATAAAATAAATTGTTCAAACTGGCGAAAGGCACTAGATCGGACAAATTGGACATCTTCTTCATCTTCGTTTGCGTGAACATCAATTAGGAGTAAAAACACTATGACATTCCCCTTATATCAATACATACAGACAACTATGAAGATGTATTCGATTGGGAAAAAGTGTTGAAATCTTTGTTAGTGGTGTGGTGCGCGCAACTTATGAGTAGTATATGACGCGAGTAAAAACATAATGTCTGGCAGCAAAAGATGGGGGAAGATCAAGAAAGGAAGAGCGGGAACACAATGGGATTTGTATGAAACGCACGAACAGTGAAATGTCGGACATGATGTTTGCAACAGGGAAAGTCCAGTTCGATATGATGGATTGATATTTTACAAATTAACGATATGCTTTTTCTATTTTGCCAATTATCTCTGTAATTTGGGATAAATACAATTCGGTTGCCACTAACAATAGACGATTTTTAGGAGTTTGATACTCAAGTCAATCAGCCATCAATAAACACATCGACATTGACCCAATTTATCAACCAATCAGTAAAATCATGGACAAACATAGGATCAAGAAACAGATCAAAGGAGAATATAATCAATATAAAGCTGCAGATAGTTTTTAAGGTCAATAACAACCAATCAAGGTCGAGGTGAGTGAATAGAACAACCCACAGGATCATACGTGAAGAAATTCGAATAATTCACTTCATTTACTTGAAGTTTATGCTGATGATGTTGTTCAGAAGAACAGCAATGAAAGCTCCAAAACTAAACTATCCAGCTCAGAGAACAAAACTCCACCAGCAAAATCATCCATTCGAACTACTACAAATTTTCACCACCATCTTAAAATCATGGATGCAGACAGATTACTTAGATGTGAAGTAGAAGATTATGAAAGACCAGGTGTAGAGAATAATGTTTTAAAAAAGCAGCAAATAACTGCACAATTAAAGCAAATCTATTTAATTGATATTCGGATATAATTTTACAATACACTATGTTCGTTTAACTGTCTAATTGTGTATATTTCTCAACCGAGTTTAAGTGAGGGTAGTTGAAAATATTCATTCGGTAGGAAATCACTGACCTAGATTTTCTTTTATTCAGAACTGACTAAATAAACAATAAAAACAATGTTGAGCAGACTGCCATCCTTGGCCAGTCAGTCAGTGTCACAACTTTTGAAGTACCAGTGAGCTAATAACATTGAAAATGAACGTATGGAATTGAACGTATGTACAATGATTGACCACTGAGCAATGATGACTAATATTATATTTGTGTGTATTCCTTGTCACTTGTTTGAATTCTTTTGATCAAGTTACAATATGATGGCGTTTCGAATTTATTTCCTGTTCTCCATAAACCACTTCGAATCACTTGATTTCCCACAAATTGAAATTACACTATATTACACTATACAAGCGAGTAATATAATTTATATTCTTCTTTCGAACCGAAGACTACCAGATGTCAGCATCATTGGACAATTCAATGTGTTTCTCATCATCACTCTTACATGAAAAGTCAATATTATTTTAAACAAATTCAATCAATCTCAAGCACATGCAACGAACGCTGTGAACCTAGCAATTATTTATTATAAATCGATTCAAGTTGTCACATCAAGTTGACATGGTCAAACTAAATCATCAGTTGTTTTAAACTTGTTAACAGTATTTAATGGTAATTTATAAAATTAAGTAATCAAGTTACTTTTGCCGACATTTGCTGTCCCAGCATTCATGATTTAGTAGGATCTAAAGGAAGAGACAAATAGTGAATGCACCTGAGCCAAATTGTAAACGATTCTAAGCTGTATCATTCAAACTAGTTAAACGAATTATGGTGATTAAGAATTCAACAAGTGGTACAGATCTATGTTATTGGCTTCGAATTATACTGTAAGTGTACGGTCCAGTAACACCAATCCCCCCCAAATGCCTAAATCAAAGTAGTTGGAGTTGATATTCAAAATATTGTAATCTAGTACGTTTGTATTGATTATTTCAAATCTTCCCCTTGGTGTTTAGAACAGTTAATCGATCAATGCAACACCTGAGCGGATTGCCTCAACTATTAAGTCAAAAGCATGATAAGCAGAGATGTTTGGTGGCTAACAGTGAACTCCAAAACATACATTTCATCCTTTTTGGAATTCATCAGCTGGATTTACCTGCATCTAAGAGTTGAAGTTCGTTCCGGAGCTCGAAGTCAGTACCGTTTGATTCAAAAGTCATTGTGTAGTGCCTCCACATATATTTCAGTTCGCTTACATTTAATTTGGTTAAGCCCTTTCGATTAATCTATTTAACCAAGCCATTTGTATTGCGACAATTTATATGTACCATTCGTTATTATTATTTTCTGGTGTGTATGAGCTCACATGACGTGTCCCACTTGTCATTTTTATTCATGTGTGTGCATGCCTATCTCGTTGATCATATGTCTGTCTTATTTTTGTCTGACTATATATTCTTAGTCATGCTCTATTTCTTGGAGTTGGCTCATTAGCCTTCTCCAACGCGCTTCTCCAATTCACGTCGCTTCATTCGTTTAATTCGCTGCTTCTCTGCTTCGCTTTATGGTGTGTCCCAAAATAAACGTATTCAACACTTTGTGTTCACCTTCTGATTTATAAACCGTCAGACGCTAGTTAGTAACGATTGTCTGGACGAGCTAATTACCGAGCTTAAGAACACGCAGTAAATTGGAACACTACAAATTAGTAAGCCCGACATCCGAAATGGACACACTACAAATGGTGATCCCGACGTCAACAAAATCAGCCACCGCAATCGCACTGTCCACTAGTGGTTAAAAGTTGAACACGTTAATCAATCAGTGGTTGGATGATCGTTCTCAACCACAAAAACAATGAATAAAAGAATTACAGATTGAACTAACAAAGAAGGTACGTTCTTTATTTTGCACGAAGTTTAATTTGAAATTCGCGCACATGCACACATACGAACAAATATAAAAAAACAATAAATCAATTCACATAAACCATGAACTAACAAACAAGATCAGCAGAATAAAACTAAATGTAGAATAGCAGCAAGATTAGAATTAAAAATTTTTGAAAACTGCAGTATAGACAATCCAGAACTAAAAAAAAATTATTCACTGGGATGGAATGAAAATAAACAAAAATTCATTGAAAATTGAACATCACTAAATCACTGTTTGGATAATAAGAATGATACTTTAAAATGAACACAGCAGTTATTGTTCATGTTGAGAGTATTTCTCAATAATATGCATCAATTCAGTGACATCTTCTTTACTGCCAAGGAATATTGGAGCACGATCATGTATACTGGTTGGTTGAATGTCTAAAATTGGTATTTTACCATTGGTTGCTAGACCACCAGCTTGTTCAATGATAAATGCCATTGGATTACATTCGTACAACAATCTTAACTGTATGTAAAAAATAAAAATGCAAAAAAAAACTACAATGAGTTCCAGAAAAAGAAGTTTCAGGTGTATGAAGGTTGAGAGTTTTGTTCTCTGAGCTGAATGTTACCGTTGTGGAGCTTTAAATGTTCATCTGAACAATATCATCAGCACAAACTTCAGGCATAAGTAAAGTATTCGAATTTTTACACGTACGACTGATTGGTCAATAATGACTAGTCAAGATCGAGGTGAACAGAACAAGCCACGGGTTATACATGGGAAAAATTTGAATAATTCACTTTTTTTACTTGAAGTTTGTTGCTGATGGAGTTGTTCGGCAGGACAATGAAAGCTCCACAACCAAAACAGTCAACTCAGGGAACAAAAACTCCATCACAATCATCATCCACCTGAACTACAAATGATCTCTTCCAATCTCATGGAAGGTCTTATGAAGATTATTAAATTTTCAGAGACTAAAATACAAACACCGATCATAATATTTAGATTGAGATTGACAAACAAGAAGTACTGAACACTAGTTTCGTTCTGGCAAATGGACTTAGCAACGATGCGAATCCCCAACCTCGTCGCAGTGTGGAAACGCTTAATCTCTAGACCATTCAACCTTAATTTAATGCTGAACAAGTCTAAATTCAATCAGTTGTATTTGAAAGGTTATTTCTTTTACATCCAACACAGTTTAACTCTGCCGATCAGAACTTCTCGCTAGCACTTTAAAAGTCATATTATCATGAAACTTAATCATTAGTGAGTACATGAAATTTATCAATAGGAGGGTGAGTTATGGAAATCACTGAATGTTAGTTATTGAGATGTCTAATGCTTTCAAATATTCAAAAGTTATCTCTACCTTTAGTCAATTTGTAATTGTAATAAAAGTTTTATTTGTTTATATTGGTTAATAAAAGGGAACATAGAAAAAATAAGCAAATGTTCTTCTCATGTACTTTTTTTTGTATAAAATTCTAGTGCTCAACACAAAATGTCAATATAAATATAGAATTCTTTTTTTTATTTAAACTCAGTTAACTTGCATTTGCTGTAAGACAAGAAGAGATGTTCACTTCTTTTTTTCTTATTTTTAAGGGTCACTTAAACCACCTACTTAATAAACATCAATCTTTTTTTTCAGTAATAAATTTAGATTTCTGAAATATAATCATCAAAAATTTTGAAGTCACTATTCGACCATAAATATTTTTGCATATATAACTGTCGATAAATTGCAGAAGCCATAGGAATACGTACATTCAACCCTAATTTATGTGTTCAGAAGAAATTCGTGACACCCCTATCTCTTCCGTGGCCGGATATAACGTAACTAACGATTGACAAATTTTATTTGTTTGCTTGAACACGAATTTCGAGCAAGCGGGCGAGAGAGAGAACAAATTGTGTCCTCATTCTTGGTCGTATCAAGTCAATTACAGGCAAACCAGTTCCCTCACGTTCATTAATCAGTCTCGTGTGCTGTTAAGGGTATGACGGCGGTTGTCATTTACCGGCTGCCCACACCGTGGAAGGTTGTTTCTTGAGAGACCTGAAAAGGAAGATAGATTAGTGTTGGTCTTGGAGACCTGGGAGCGTGACCGCAGAGTCCAAGGGACAACTGCTTGAGGCCGGTCACGCACGGCCTTTTTATGAGAAGTTTTTTGAGTGTTAGCTCCGCTCTTAAAGGCCCTTAGTGGGCACCCTTACCCAAGGAGACGGAAATCCGTGAGGTAGGGTGAGGTGTGACATTTTTAGGGTCGACCTTTTCTAACCCATCCTTCCTTGTGAGAGGGTGGCATCGCTGCAGAAGCCGGTTGTCCGAGGGAAACACCTTACTGCTGTCACACCCCTCTGCAGTCAGTCAGCAGTACGACTTCGCCCTCAGACCTTGGGTAGCTGCTTTTAGTCTCATCGTTCTCCAATCGACCTGCCTGGCATGGTAGGACCTGCAGGAACATATGTTCCAGCCAGTATAGCTCGGTTGGGTCATCACGATAGGTAAGCCCGACCACCACGTCAAGGTAGCAGCTACGGTCGGGCATGTTCATTAATACAAATTATTAATAATATTATATTTCAATCATGAATAATTAATACCTTCTATTATAGAGTTATGGAGATTGTTGATTTTTACTGAAATGATGAATAATTGTTTGATCGCCATTAGAAAACTAGAAGCACTGGACGGCCATTTGATTCTGGTATGAGGACTCATCAACAATGCGCCCCCGCAACTCAGCAGCACGCTGTAGTCATACAATGAGCGAAGACGTGAATAGTGGAGTTCAACCTTGTTGGGTTTAGGCAGTAACTACCGAAGACAAATGGGTTAGGTTGCGCGAAATAACTACATTGATCAGAGTTAGACATTAACACCGTTAGATCCCTATCGGCTCAGTGGTCTAGAGGAGGTCAAGCGTTCGCAAGCAAGACCGAAGGTGCCGGGTTCGAACCCTCAGAGAAGCAGGGAGTCATCGATGCGTACTTACTGCTGATGAGTCTCACACCTGGACGGAACAGCGACCCAGTGCTTACATTTTTCTACTGGTGGTCTAACAATGATTTATTCATGATTCCAGTAACTAATTAACAGCACCCCATCATTACTCATAATTAGGTAAACGTATAAAACATTGATTCATTTAAAATTGAATTTTCCTTTCATTTGTTTAAGTTTATACCTAAATTGAATAATGATTACTGATTATCAAAAAAACAACTGTTTGAAGTCTGTTTTTGTTTTAAAAATATGTTTCAAATTATACAACTACATCTAATCGCTTCATGGTTATTTTTACTAATCTAATCATTACAGGTCATTTTGTCAAGTGGAAGGTTTATCAAAAACATGTTGATGATTACTAGTTAACATGTTTGGTGTGTTGAACCAGAGATTCTTTGAAACTGCTTTAGCTTTGCTGTTCTGTTGTGTTTGACCTAGATATGCTAATGTCTATTGACCTAAACGTAACCTCCTGTGTTCATAAGCCTCAACCAGAATATGGAAAGGAGATAAGTCGATTTATCGTTGATAAGTTAGCTAAATAAACGCAAGAACTGAATTCCTATCCGCTTCTAATAATCTTAAGACTAAATCTACACAGCAAATTGAACAGAAAAGAAAAGCCGTGAATTACCAGACGAATATTTTACTCCAAGGGTATTTATAGAGTTACTCATGACCTTGTGTTTCAGGAAGGTTCGTGAACCATGCTGAATAATATAGTAGTGACATCGCTAAATATTCAATCAGAATAGTGGCAAGCGTTTATGCATTTCTCAGATGTTTCTGTAAATGATTTACTCAATGCTGATTGGATGAAATGCTTCCAGGCATTCCTGCACCTCTATAGACTTTTCTGAAGGATGTTTCGGGGCAATCCAACAACCGTCGATTCTTTCGCATCACAAACTCGCGTAATTATATTTACAACTTATCATCAATATGAGATCATAACTTATACCTAACTAAAGAGAGAACATTCATAAAACTTGAAGAACTATGAAAATCATTATCCACAAAATCCAAGTATTTATTAACGATTGTCTACACAAGATACTGAGGATCTGTTGATCAAACACCACCAGTAACAACCTACTGTAGGAGAGAACAAACCGGATTCCAGATGAGGAAGAAATTAGGAAAAAGTGCAGGAAGTGGATCAGACACACATTGCAGAAATCACCCAACTACGTTACGAGGCGAGCCTCAACATCAAGTCCTCAAGGCCGAAAGAGAAAATGGAAGATCAAATAACACATTGCCCTAGGAATCGAAATCGGTGAAGTTTGCTACTTTTACAGTCAACCTTTTCTGATCATCTTTATTCATCATAGAATAGTAGTATGAACACAAATGATGGCTGTCACTTTCCAATACAGTCAGTCATCAATAATACAACTTGTCTTGTGGAGATGACATGACAAACTTATTTTGTAAATAGTTTTTGATACTATTTATATTCATTCTGTTAATTTTCACAGCCTGTACATTCACTATGAAATTGTTGTACATTTTTGTTTAAGTGTGTGTCCTTGAATTTATCAGGTGCACACACTGCTCCACGTTCCGTTCTGTTGTACACATAGCACGGCACTCACTGCCTCATCCTATCAAATACACTTTATACGTACATCTCATGTTCTCAATCGTTCATTAGTACTATAATTGGATTCTAATATGTATATTGTCTACGTTTATAGACTGCAGTCATACGTATATGCTACTTTACGGATATTTACATCGATTGGATTACTAAGCGTTTCTATAATTGTCGATTTATGGTACCAATCACAACCGAACACGCACAAGCAGCCGTATAAAGTAACGTCCTTACATTTTTATTGTGTTTATTACATTTAACTGATATATTTAGTATAGTAGAATCTACAGGAATGAGTCCTCCAGATAAATATAACACAACTAGATCATTACAATGTCCATAACCGACAACTTTATCAAAAGACAGAAGCTACAATCAAGGCTCACTTATTGATTTCTATAGCATGTAGTAGTACCTCATAACAAACAAACATGTTTACTTATGTACAACAACATCATTTACTTACTATGTAGAGTAAGAACACAATATCAAATTAACAAACAATAATCACTTACTTTTCCTTTTGGAGATTGTTTTGTACTTGGATAAAGAAAAATTCCGCCATACAATAATGTACGATGAACATCAGCAACCATAGATCCACAATAACGTGCACTATAAGGTTTCCCGGACTATTTATTTATTAGAAGAGAAAAACAAAGTAACAGCAACAGTAAAAACAACAACGACTATTCCAGGATGAATTAGAATGAGGATGTTAGGATATTCACCAAATATCCTAAGAATACTATTTTTAGAAGTACAATCCTATTGGTCGATTTCTATTGGCCGAAATTATGATCGTTCTAACTGTCAAGGTCAAATACTTCAATGTTGCCTCTTATTAGTCATCTGAACTGTCTGTGTCATTCAAATGTTCTTTTCTATTGGTCGTCCTAAACTGTCAATGTCACACACGTTGATGCTCTTTTTTAATCGACCTTAATGTATAAATACGCACTATCTGAAAGACTTAATAATTCCGTTCCTTCCTGCCTACCTCTCTTCTGTATTCGACCCAATAAACAACTCCATCCAACGGTGTTGCGTTCTGATATCTAGGAGATTTGGAAATAGTATTTTGGGTCGTATTGGGATATTTGAATTGGACGCGGCTAGGACTGAATAGCTATACGTAGCAGCGTTACAACAGAATAATACATTCATTCATTCATAGAAAGATACAAATGAGAAATCAGTGAAAATCTTCAATAGCTATTTATAGCTCTGTAGAGACAAACACACATTGCTATGATATATAAGGAGATTGGAGATAGTCAACAAGAAATTCCAAACTAAAGTTTAGTATTAGTTGGGTACTTTCAAAAAAAGCTCATTGTCGTATTTCAACCAATAATATTCGGCTCTTTACAGTTTAAGATGCCTCTATTGAACTTGTCAGGCCGTTTACAGTTTTTCAAACAGAATTAAAACATACACATATGATTTCTTATACCACAGTATGCAATATTTAACATCATATGTTGATGTAAGGGTAGGCTGGAAGAAAGCTAGGGTAGGTCAAATCAAAACATGACACAAATCCATGAAGTCGTTGACAACTGGGTTAGGTGTAGATTAACCTGGTTGGGTTCCGCGAGACAATAGTAATTACATGTTTAAAGACTTTATATGAAATGTCTCAAAATCGTTGGCGATGGTACGGGTACATATGCTCCTTGTATTCTGTTAAATTCTAATCTTCTGAATCCCTTATCACCTTTATCTTTCCTCTTTTTATATTTATTTCATTTGTATATACTTCTCGAATCCTATCTTCGATCTCTAATCTTTCTGATTATCGCTAATACTTCAACTACCTCTACTGCTACTTGTTGAGGATGTTAGATCCCAAAACCTCGCTTGATAAATGTCTTATTTTGGTTTTCACGGTTGCCAGCATGGGCTGATCAGTTGACCTTGAGATTTCAACTCCCACCAGGAAAATTCGCGGCTGTGATTGGCTGCTGTGCATTTTAGTGTGCTATCTTCTTAACTGTCCCAAGGATGTTTCTATGATTTATAAATAAACGAGAGTTGTATGCTTGATTGTACTGTGATTGCTGGGTGTTTGTAGAATATACTTTCTACGCTTACAAAGCCTTCTTACTTTAGTTGGGGATTCAAGGTAGCCTACCTGGACGCTGGGTAAAGTCTCGTTCGCGTTTATCTACTAAGGTAAACTCGTAATAGCCTCAAGCATACTTAGTGACGAACCCAATACTACTACTACCACTATTATGGGATTTGAAATGACAATGCCATCTGCTTGTACTAATTGTGGCATGGCAACTTGAACTAATGTAGATACGTACGACGTTCTATGTTGTAGCTAGCTGACTGGTTGATTTAATTTCATACACAACTTACTTGAGGGAATTTTTTCATTTGAATATATTCTGTTATTGCATTATCCCAAAGACTTGCATAACCTTCATTAATTGAATAAATATTTCCACGTGGTTTAACAGAAATATTCGGATGTGTAAGTATGAATTCACCGATTGCCTTTAAAAAAATTCAAACAGAAATAAACAGTTTATAGGTTTCAACATAAAAATTTCTGACCACTTGAGTTTAACGCTGTCGGGTGTAGGCAGTAAACTACTGAAGACAAATGGGTGGGGTTGCGCGAAAATCCTTAGATTGATCAAAGTTAGACATTAACACCGTTGCATGCCGACTAAGTGGTCTAGAGGAGGTTTAGCGTTCGTGCGCGAGACCGAAGGTCATAGGGTTCGATTCCCGCCAGCAAAGGGTCGTGAATGTGAACTGCCGAAGAGTCCCAATACTAGGACGAAACGGCCATCCAGTGTAAAGAAATAGGATTTTAAGGTATATACATACATTACTAATAAACGAATACTTGATTCATGTAAAAGAAGACAAGTACGATATCATTTACAAAATTAATTGCACTAACTATGAGAAATATTACATTTGACAGAGACGACAACCCTATTTTATATTACGCATAAATGAATAAAGATTATTAATGAGGTGACATGATGTATTATCGTCGGTATCAAAGTATATACAAAAAACCATGAAAATGAATTCGTCTGGAGAAATATTAAAATATTAATTCAGGAAAACTCTAAGAAGTGTAGAGTTTTTTCTACTAGAAACACAACATTCAGATCAATTCACAATTGAACAGACACATGAACAAAGACCAAATTTATGAGTCTACATAAAAGCGATCAACCAATTTACAAGAGAAGAAATCAACCAACAAAGGCAGTTAATGGCAACGTAAAAATAAACGCAGGTAGGTAATAACACCTTACGAAGATAACAAATCACAAACAAGGTCATTGGAACAAACGGACACAAAAATACTTGCTGATTAACATGAAAACGTAATTCTACACAGAGTAGACGCGAACCTGTTTATATGCGACGGTGGTAATCAGAACCAAAATAAAGATTCCATCGGATGAGTTCGTTTCATTCAATCGTTCACGTACACAAACATGGGAATACAAAGTGTAAAAGCAAAATGAGACAAAGTGAAGGCGAGCAAGCCAACTAAATGCAATGTGGCATGACCAAGTATTTATAAAATCAGTCAATAGTAGGCTTGACTAGTAATAAGCGAAGTAAGCATGAGTATGCACACTCTCAAGTAAAAACAACTAAGATATGAGTGATAATAGGCAACGTCGAAAGACATGTCCAAAGGCTGGGACAAGCCCTGTAGGCTCAACATATACATGCACTACAAACTATTCTCTTACTCAATCCTTAACTCTTGCTCCTGATATAAAATTCTAAATTGTAAACAATCAACCTCAAACTTTTTCGGCTTTCATCACACAACTTATTGATTGCTTTTACATTCCTCACGTGATTTCAAGAATCGTGAAATAAGTTTACATCGAATGTAAAAAACCAGTGAAACCTAGGATGTATATTTCGTCCTGTTTGGGAAACAGAGTTGTTTTTCACTATGTCACTCAACCAGGTATCATTAACTTTTAACTTTATTTACGTTATCTACTTTAGTTTGATAGTCCCCAAAGTGAAGATCGACTCTGGGATGCAGGTGCATACAACTAAAAACGAGTTCCAACTTGGACGAAACATGCATTCTGGATTTTATTGCTAACTATATTCTATGTAAATAATGATAATAATAATAATAATAATAATAATAATAATAATAATAACAGTAAATGAAATAATTTGAACTTACTGGATCCAATGTAAAACCATGTACGCCAGTTCCAACAGTTAAAACTAACATGGTAGCGCTACCGTATAAAGCGTAACCAGCAGCAACAGCTTGACGACCAGGTTGTAATGCTAGTTTAGAAGATATTACACCTTTTTCATAATTTGATGATGATGAGGATGGTGAACGTAATATAAGAAATATTGAACCAATTGAACCTAAACAATCAATATTTGATGAGCCGTCCAATGGATCAAAACAAACAATATATTTTCCCTACAAATTGAAACAAAAAAGACTCATATCTCTATAAAACTTGTATTGTTTCACAAGTGTTAACAATCAGGTTAATTCGATTATAAAAGAGTCAAACATTAACACCGTTGGATGCCAGCCCAGAGGTTAGACGTTCGCGCGCAAGACCAATGGTCCTGGGTGCGAATCCTGCGAGTACCAAAAGTCGTGGATGCGCACTGCTAATGAGTTCAATACCAGGAGAAAACGGCCGTTTAGTAATTTCAGGTTTCTAATGGTGGTAGTCTAACAATGATCGATTGATGAAGCCAATGTATAAATGATAGATTTTTAAAAAATATAATCACTAAATCAGTGAGTTAATTGATCTAAAAATGTGAAATAGACTTCAAACAGTTGCAATAGTTTAATCAGTGATATTGTGTCAGACTATGAGATTGGATGAGACAGGTTTGAATCTAACAGGAAGCTAAGTTTACTGAGTTGTCGGTTTACTCTTCGGCTTGCTTTTTTTCTCTTCCAGATAACCTCGCACTGCTCCTCACAATCCTACAATACACAAAGTATCTTCCAGCTAAACGCAAACTAACCAAAGGCTGAAAGTACAAAGGATGGCAACTATGCTTTGCTGACAAGAGTCAACTAGCAAAAAATACTCAAGTTCAAAGTTTATTCTCCTGACTACATCTTCAACCGCTTAATATTATTTATATCCTACTTTTCATAGATATTCAGCTACAAACAGTTAGTTGTATAGAGTAGTCCAACACTTGAACATGGAAGATTTACCTTTTTCAAAGAAATAAAAATATTCGTTTGCCATGAGTTTGTATTGGAGTAATGTTAAATTCATTTTCTGTTGATCTAAATTAGTTGGGAATAAACAGATCGAACGCTAATGTTCACGCAGTTCAACTATTCAGGCTGAATCTACAGTTACACTTATTTTTCAGGAAGGAAAAGTAATAGACTAGGATGATCAGACATAAGCATGCACTTGGATTCGGTCGAGAGTGTAAGTTGGTCGCATACCCCCACGTTGTACGGAAAGAGATATTGAGATGTTTTTCAAACGTTATGGATGGTCAAGAGACATTGTTCTAAAGAATGGATATGGCTTTTTTGAGTTCGATAAAGAAAAGGATGCAGATGATGCCGTCTATGATCTGCATGGAAGAGATCTACGCGGTGAACGCTTGATCTTTGAGCATGCTCGCCTTCCTCCAGGCACTCGAGGCGGCAGCAGAAGAGCAGGTGGTGGTTGCGGCGGAGCAGGTGGCGGCAGTGGTCGTGATCGGTACGGTCCACCAACGAGAACATAGTATCGTGTTATTGTTGAAAATCTCTCGTCGCGTGTAAGCTGGCAGGATCTGAAAGATCTAATGCGTAAGGCTGGGGAGGTTACTTATGCGGATGCACACAAGTCAGCTAAAAACGATGGCATTGTCGAATTTGCTGCCTATGTTGATATGAAAGAAGCAATCGAAAAATTCGATGGGTACGAACTCTATGGACGCCGGCTACGTGTTTACGAAGATCGACCTGGCCAGCGGTCCAGATCTGGCTCTTACAGATCGCGATCTGATAGTCGCTGGTCACGAAGTCGGGAATCTTGGAGGCAGAAGTCGCGAAGTCCTAGACACCGACATGATAGGTCACTTTCCAGTGATAGACAAAGGTCAGAGTCCGGTGATGACTCGCACAGATGTTTCAGGGAAAACTCGAATGATTTACGGTTAAGGCGGCGGTTTTCATTGAACTATTAAGTTAGCCTTAAATACAAAGGAGTGTATGTATCTAACAATATCTAACAAATGGACAAAGTAGATACTCACCTAACTAATGTCATCTAATATACATGATTTAAAACTTTCAAAAAAAACAAAGTAAGATTTTTAAAATCCAACAAATATATTCATAATTTCATAATTCAATTATTATTCAAATAGGAATTATTTAATTGAAATTTGATTCATACAAATTATAATCATATGATATAAAAAAGAAATAAAATGTGGCTAACAATGGAATCCAGGACTCGCGTTTCGTCCTTTTTCAGACTCATGTGTTGTTGAATATACTTGCATCCCAAAGTTAGTGTTTACTTTGAGACTTCTATCACCATCGTGTGATAACCACCGCACTTGTGCAACAAGTATGTAGGATAATTATCTCACCAAACATTATCCTGTCAATGTTTTAAAAAAATCGGCCTGCTTAAATATTTCAGGCTACCTGTTTCCTAATATTAAATATATATATATATATATATATATATATATATATACATATGTACATATATATATATAATATTGAATAAAGCCATTATAATTATTTTTAGAACAGAGGTTTTTAATAGATTATCTAAAGAATTAATTATCCAAGTGAATATGGCCACTAGTCACGTTATGTTTATCAGTTTAACTTATTTTCATCTAGTGGCCAAATACAACTACTCTATTTAGTTTACTTTGATCTGTACTGACTTATATAAAAAGGTTAAGTGATATAACCCCGATTTTATATAAAACGCGATATGAATTTCATATAAGTCATTTAAAAACTAAACAGTTAGTGTTTCATTCATGATGTGTTTTTGCAGAAATCAAAATGGTCAATAAAATGTACCTTCTAATTGTTATCACATGCACTGTCTTTAAATCCTGAACGTGATATGTGCTAACTATCCGAAAATGACTACATGAGCAAGAGAATAAGAGTAGTAGGAGGAGAAGAAGTCGATTCAGTTATCGAATAATAAACATTATAACTCATATATATAGAGATGTTTGTTTCTTATTGAAATAATGAATAGACCATCAGAAACTTAGACGACCGTCTCAACCTAGTATGGAATTTTTCAGCAATGCGCATTCACGACATTCTCTTGCGCACGAACGCCTAAACCTCCTCTAGACCACTGAGTCGGCATCCAACGGTGTTAATGCTAAACTTTGAACAATCTGAATAATGTTTGATTCATGATTTCAATGAAAACATAAAATTACATTTGAGTGACTTTGATTATTGTTAAAATAAAAAAAATTATCTTTCATATTCATTAATGTCTAGTGTTTTTTTTCTCTCGACTATTTTCTGTCCTCTACAATGGATAACTGTCTTATACTCAATATGGTTCTACTTCATTGATTATAGCCTTTCACTGGAACCTCAGGACCGGCAGCTTGAAGCTGATTGCTAGTGAGCACATGATTACTATCAGCGTACAAAAAATTTCTGGAACTGATTTTAGCTTTGCCACGTACTGAAAACCATGAAGTACTGGATAGTTGTTTTATTCCAATATAGGATTCCTCAGCAGTGCATCTACAGAGAGTTATTCATCGCAAGCAATGGAACATAATCGCGTAATGTCATTGGTTGAAGCCAGACATGTACACCATTGAAAGTCGGCTCCAAAGTTAGATCAGATATCCTGACTTCGATTTGCTATAGCGGGATCGTAGATATGCACTAACTGAGAAGTCTTATACAAGGATGAAACAGCGATCTAGTGAAATCTGGCTGCTATTGGTGGTCTAACTTAAATCAGTTTATGATTTAAACCATGAAAATCTGACAATCTTCACAAATCTCGCTACACCGATGAATTCTTTATTGATTGGATAATGAGCACAACCTTAAAATTCTGATATTCCCCTATCATTTATGATATCACATCTCGTTTAATTCATGATGGCATACAAGTGTTCTTATTCGATGTCACTTCAGTTCTAACAAATGTTCCATTAACAGAAACTATGCTTATCACGTCACTATATTGAAAGTATCGATATGTTACGTCTCAATATAAATACATGCCCCTAAATGCCATGTGCGGCCGAGAGAGTCCATTCTCTCTGTCTTGAAAATGCTCTCATCTGGTCATGCTGACACAGTTATTACCAGGAAAGTCCTACTCATTGCCTTCTTGCACCAAGGGTGTTGTTTACGAAAAGCGAGTGTCCAGCGCTTTAACCAGGTTAGTAGAAACGGAATATCCATATGGGAGAGTTGGAAAACCCTCATTCCAAACCTATAGTTCACATTGGTTCCATAATCCTTATGAAACGAATGGCGTACAAACTTATTGTTGATTAACGGCTACCATAGGACTGCCACTTCTAACGTTGTTCCACTACCTTGTGGACCAGACCTCTTGGTCAATGGCTTGGGGAGTGGCCCCCTAGGAAAACCACCTGTTTTGGTTTGCTTACCCAAGCAGCATCATATCCCACGCACAAACTAAGTGATGATTATAACTGGAAAATTCTATACTAGCTTCAACCCTCACTTCCATTCGTTTTTATTTTACATTGCGTCACTGGTTTATTACTTTATTCCTATAATAGGTATTCTCTATTCTTCAACTCATACAGCGGCTCGCCTATGGTGAAAATCTTGTCCTATCTAAACAATCCCAACTGACTAGTCGGAATGTGAATGCTATTACCAAATACGAATTCTGAATCACCCTTTCGGAAAACATACATGCCATTGAAACTGGCCTCCAATGTTCGCACAACTAATGCAAGCCGGATAATAGAGAGTTGGTTATGTCTTTAGAAAGTCCCAACATTGATGTACGTTGTTTATTCGACACCTATATTCAAAACTTTAGTGATATACTAAACATTCGCCATTCATTTGACGTTCTGCAAAGCTTATTTCGTGTGTGTTTATATGGCGACCCTGTGGCACCTTTATCTGTGTTTTTAGATTACAAAGCCCCACCAAAGTGAGAAATAGGTGCGAGGAACGACGCTTTTTAATTATTTTCGTTTACGTTTCGACAGACTGCAGTCTGAATGTAGTCAAGGATGAGTCCTGCTGCCAGAGCAGAGTTATCTAGGTGGCCAACAGGGACTTGTTAGTCACAGTTGAGATAACGGCGATTGTCTACTGCAACTTTGTACTGACTACAGCCCGTTTCTGACTAGCACTGACTATAGGCACAACCTTCACTGTTGTGCTACCTGGTGTCCTCCCTCTGCTTCTCAAGCCTGAACTCAGATTGATCCCATCATGACCAGCTACCGCTGGGGTGGTTGTGGACAAGACTGCCGCTCCTTTGTAAGTATTTATCTCATTTATGATCAGGCCGTCGTTTGGGCTACTCTTATATTGCGTTCCGGTGGCCAACAAATTAATCTTCCCAAACGGGTTGATATCAGCAAATTGGTTATAGCTTCATTTGCAACTGAATATCAAACCGAGCTAGGTTTGAGGCTAGCTACCAACCCACCGAAACGTATAAGTGAGCATTGGATGCAATTAAGCGATGCCACGAAAATGGAGAGTAAAGTCGCTAAACGTGCAAAATTTGCGTTAGGATCGAGAAACCTGATGATCGGATAGAAACTAGCAGCTGCATTTTGTAACAGCCGGAAGCTGTTTCAACTCATCCGAACCAATGGTAACAAGAATTCTGGTGTGAGTGAAACAACCTGTGAAGCAGATGGGACGCTATTCAATAACATGGTGTCGCGATACTGACCGTTCTTTCCATATCCCTCTTCACAACCTCATTTTCATTGTATGATGCAAATATATTTTGGTGCCTACTTGTATTGTACATTAGTAAATTATATACATATATTTATGAGTCTATAGAAAAATAGAAAGAGGTTGCATCATAAAATGTTTAGGGAATTTCAAGTATCGAAAGGCTACTCAATGATTGGTAAATCAAAAGAGGATAGGATAAAAAAGTGATTTCCCAATCCGAAAAACACAGATAATTTCCCAAATGAAAAATATCAAAAAGCAATAAACATCATGGATTGACGGTAAAAGTAAGATGTTTACATCATTGGATGCCGACTAAGCGGTCTAGAGGTTAAGCATTCGCAAGCGAGACCGAACGTCGTAGGTTTAATGAATGCGTACTATTGATAAGTCCCATACTAAGACGGAACGGCCATCTAGTGCTTCAAGGTTTCTAACAGTGATCGGTTCATAAATTCAAATGAACCTCAACAATCTCCACAACCCTAATACAGATAAAAAAATTATTTTCAAGGAATAACATTTATTGTTTCTTAGAGGTAATTTTCAAAATAATTCACTAACTTGTTTATCTAATTCCACTTCTATAGCTTCATTATTCTCTTCTGATATTAGTAGACAAGTTGAATAAGATGATTTTAACATATTAATAAATAAATCATTTGAAAGAATATCTAATTTTTTCACTTCTTCACCTTGAATATTACTGGTCCCGGTTAAACCATAACTAAATAATCAATCAATAAAAAAAATAAACGATAATAATAACAATAATAATAAGTAAGATGAACTAAAATTTATTGAAATAATCAAGTATGTATTTGAGAATAGAAGTAAGGTTTCTGTAAAACTCAATTTTTTTTACCTCGTCTGAGCTGCAGTCAGTGGGAGCATAGGCAGAGACGACGAAGAGATAACGGCTAGTGTTTCTATCTTTAAGAGTTCTTGCTGGTCTCTCTAGTCGGACAGTGCATAAGCGACTATCTACTGAGATCCAGTCTATGAGAGCTAGTTCTTCCCTAGGACTTAATGTTATACCTACATAAGTGAGGTCACGGAAAGTAGCAGCAGCTTTTAACACCTTTCTTCCTTATGAGAAGACAGAATCGTTGCAGATGCTGGTTGTCCGAAGGAAGCACCTTATTGCTGTCGTATCCCTTTACAGTCAACAGTAAGACTTCGCCCTCAGACATTGATTTGCTGCTGTTAGTCTTACCGTTCTTCAATCAACCTACCTGGCATGGTAGAAACTAAAGGAACATATGTTACAGCGTATATAGCTCGGTGGGGTAGTAATCACGATAAGCAAGGTTGAGGATTGAAAATAAGTCAAGCAGGAAGAATAACAACTATGTAACAGAATAAAATGAATATACTGAATCTATAGTTTTACTTTTTCAACTGCTTACAACTTTGTATGTATTTATATAAATAGTGAGTTAAATATAAATTTATGTTGGTATAAAAGATTTGTCGAGATTTAAGACTTCTTATGGTAGACATCACTAACTGATTCAAGCTAAAGCACTGTTAGAAATATGAAAGCATGGGACGGTCGTTTCATCCTGTTATAGGAGTTAGTAGTGCGTATAAATCCACGAAGATTCCCATACTAGGAAGAAAAGTTTATCCAGTAAGCTTCAGATTTTAAAACAGTGATCAAACCAAGATCAGTTTGTGACATAAACTTTATAGGTTAATGTACTGAATAACCTAGAGAAAAATAGTTTTTAGTTAGCTAAGATTAGGTGATGATATTGAATTCGAATGTACAATGTGATGATTATGAACTGAATAGATAAAATGTAAGTAGATACTGAGTTTGGCCGAAACAAACACTCAACATATTGACTGTTAAACATCAGATTTCCTCGCTTATCATAGACTTCTACTTCGAACTCATTGAGTGTAGACTTTTTGTAGTTGTGTCGAATAAAAATACTGTTTAATTTATTCTATTCTTCTTCATATTTGGTCACGAATCGTGTACTTGTTAAAACATGGTTCTGTCTATGTATAGAGTATCAAAAGAATATCTAGTATATTGGTAGTATATTCTCTGTCATTAGTCACATAATAGTAACGCTTAGTGACAAAATGGAAATTTTCCCATCCTGTTTTTATATCTTAGTCAATAATCGAATACCTTATGATGTATTTAAAATTGAGATAAGACGATGAAACTAACGAGTGAAACGCAACCAAACTATCAGTCAGTCAGCTACAACATAGAAATTCGTACGTACATACGTACATACATCAGTTCAAGTTGCCATACTACATTACCACAGAGACACAATTGTCACTTCAAATCCCATAGTAGTAGAGGTAATAGAAGTAATGACAGCAATCGGTAAGATTAGGGTTCAACGATATTATTCAAGAAGCATAATCTAGTGAAATAAACTTAGAAAGATAAAGGTGATGAGGAATTCAGAAGATTAGAATTTAGGAAAAGATAACGAGAGGATGCACCTGCGCCATTACACCCAACTACAAAATAATACGAAGTATTTTCTATATGGTCAAAGTCAGTTTTGTGATTCAAATACTTTCAATCCTCAACAACTCACTGAAATCTTAGTTTCGTCTTGTGATTGATCATTTGACCACATAGATAATTTGGAAAGATATTTTGTGCTTAAAATTGATGAATTATTCTAATATTGAGTTGGTAATTATTTTCCATCCTACTTTGCATAGCCAACAAGGATCATTTTTCGAGATACAATCAGGAAGTGGTCGCTTGATGACAGCTAATGTAATTGACTATACAATGGTAAGTAAACCTATGAATAAACTTTGATTTGGCCGAAAGTGAGAATGGGTTCTTAACCCACATGAATGACTTTCAAACGAAGCATACAAAGAAATGTACTGCTCAATACTGAAAAAATAGTGAAACAATCTCTTAAAAATTTATTTAATTGTTTGGAACTGATAACTGAAATATATAGAAAATATTGATACTGTATATAATATATATATCAGTATGTATGTATTCTAACAATTCCGTTTGCAAACAATCGATAATTTCGAACATTTTAGTAAGAACATGAGATATGTAGATTCGAACATGTGCATAAAACAAATTTTTGTTCATTCCAGTTTCTAGTACAATCAAATAAAATGAAGTGTTCAACCATCCATACCTACGAAAACCATTTTCGCTTATTTCTTTTTCCTACTAAACAAAGTTTGTAAAGAAATTAAGTTATTAATTCTTATTTAAAATGATTGCCAGTATTTTTCCGGATCAAGGAAA